GGGCTTCTCCTCAAGGCTGCCAAGCTCATCCTGGGACTGCCACAGCCTTTGCTGTGCTCCAGGAGCCTTCCCTCCAATTCTGGCTTCCTAGATTCACAACACAAGCACGCCCGCACGTCCCACCGCCTCGCTGCTCGTTTCTTGTCTGTCCCACACGATGTGATGTCTTCCTTTCCCCAGTTCTGCCAGCACAACAGTTGGTGTGGCGGCTCATTTGGCTCGCATTGCATAAATTGTGGAAGTGTTTATTTGGTTTAAATTAAAAACAAAGTCATGTTGGCGAGGTTTTTCATCAGGCAGCTCAGTTCCACGGTCTGCTCTGCAGATGGGTTGCAGGCCGTGGCACAGGGGCAGGAGGGAGTGCAGGGGATCTGGGGTGTGGATCTCTGCCCAGTCCCCTGCATCATGACACTGCAACCATCAGGAGAAGCATCAGCAGCTTACAAGAGCAACTCCAATCTGGGATTTATTTTAGTTTTTTTGGCAGTGTTGCACTCAGGGATTTATTGGTCTTTTGGATGCACTCAGCTCGTATGTTTGAGATGTATTTTGAGAGCCAGAAGCTGGGATTCTCACACGTACCCAACGGGAGTGAAAGAAAAGCATGCAAAACTGCAAACTGCACAAGCACACAAGAGCCAGCAATGCTGTGAGCAGGTGAGAGTTCACCTTGCAGAGCATTGCTGTAGCTCTGAAGAGCAGAGCCTCAAATTCAAGATTGCCTGTGATGTTCAGGTAGACTGCGGCTCTTACAGCTGGCAAGGAGAGTTGACTTCAGCATGGAGGTGAGTCTGGGCTCTGCATTGAGACTTGAGCAGGCTGTGCGACTGCTGAAGGCCAGACCAGGGAGTCCCATCAAGGAGCTGCCTGTGCGTAAGCTATGTGGGCCAGAGTCAAGAAGAGTTTCAAGGTCAGTGAATAAAGCAACTGAACTCGATACATTCTTTGTTGGAAGCAAATAGAGAAGCAACAGCATCTTAGTGAGGAAGAACAAAGCAAAATGTGGCAGAGACTGAAAGAGTGCACGTGCATCTCAAACCAGATGTTACACTACACCACATTTTACAGAGTACGCATTAAGTACTGCTGTACAGTGTGCATGGCTGTCAGCTCCCTCCTCAGCCCTGATGTGCTCAGGCACTGTCTCTGCCCTGAAGATTTGGCACTGTAACTCGATGTGGCTGGAATAGAGAAGGGCACTGGGGTGTGGTGGCTGCTCCAAGGTTACACAGCGGAATAAAACTGAAACCAGAGATTCCTGTCCTGCCTCCAGTGTTTGACCTACTAGATAGCAAGCTTATAATGTGGCTTTTTATGCTTGCTTACTGCCCTCTGTGAAGCTCAGTGCTTTATAGGTATTGATTACTTAAGCCCTGAGTTGTGCCTGATAGAGGAATGTTATAATAATTGTTAGTACAGCATTTATTTCAAGTTTAGCCAGAGATAACATGGCAGAGGATAAAGCAAGATCTAAGCCAATCAATTCTTGGTATAATGTAATTAAATGATACTTTATACGTAAGAAGCATTAATTCAGCTTTAATGGCTTGAATTGGTTTAGGTTTCTTAAGAAGCAATTGAGGAAATACAGAATAAAAGGATGAACTCTTTGTCATGTTGAAATTGATTGGAGTTTTGCCATCAATCCCAGTGAGGCTCGAGTTTCTCCAGCCTTGCATCAGCAGTGATGCTGAGCTGGCTGCCCTGCACTCGTCATTCCTTCTGCTGCTGCTTCTCCTTACTCAGCGTGCCATTCCCTCCAGTGCTGGATGTGTCATACAAGTCACATCGCCCTGGGACTTGATGAGGAATGTGGGTGAAGTCATGTTGCTGACTGAATCTTGGCCTAAACTGTATCCTGATTTTATTTATCTTTTGGTACAGAAACCAGAGGAGTTCTCTGATGCATACCGTCTCAATCCATTTAACTGTGATTGTTCATGTGTCTAGCCATAACTACATGCTGCAATGCCTTGGTGGCTTGGGTCTGAAAAGACTGCGTTTAGTGCAACTCTTTTTTCTGCTTTTGCTATCATTGCTAAACCTGGATGTTGCACTTAGCATATCTACATCATCTTTTTATTTTTTCCTTTTGGAGAAGAAGAATTTGCCTCTGCTCTCAGAGATGTTGCTAGTGTCCCCATGCGAGGCTTGGCAGTGCACATCTGCTGTGAGAGACTGGGGTGAGTGAAGGGTGTCCCAAACTTTGCCACTGTTTGTCTGCAGATAGTTTTGAGCAGGACTGACACAGTCCACAGTCCTGACTTTAGGCACATCTGTTACACTGGTGGGCCTGATTTCTGCAGACATTCCACTTGCACAGCTTCTCCTGGAAATTATGTATATGCAGGGCTGCAAGACTGGTCCTATCATGACTATTTCCTGGCAGTGGGAAAAGGCAGAAACTATTTTTAAATGAAAGCTTTGAATCAGAAGAATATTGCAGAGTGCAGCAAAATTTGTGTCAAAACCCTGAAATCATGGACTCGGCAGTTTTCTCATGCCAGCGGTTTTCTTCTTTTTATGGTTTTAAGACTGTGTTTTTGGAGAGTTGGGCTGAGTGTTTTTTGGTGAGATATGTCTATTCTTCCTGGTGCGCATTATCTCAGCAGCAGCATTCCCTGTGCAAGGCAGGCAGAGGAGAGGCAATGCACTGTGATGTGTTAACAGGGGTGGGGCTTTGCAAAAGAAAACAAAAGAAAACAAAAAAAACTTCTGATTTGCCTTGCACACAATCAAAATAGTGCTTCAAGTTTGCCCCCAAGTTCATTATTCAGCTGTTTGTTTGTTTTCAGATTTTGTGTTATGTTCCTACATCTGTGCACGTTTCCAGCTTCTCTGTGGTCATTTAGGAAAACCAAAAAAGAGAAAACCTGTGTTTTTTTCTCTTAGCACCAGGAAATTATGCCCTCTTTTCCCCATCAATTGCTTTTGCATAGCTCAAGGATGACCCAAAGGGCTTTTGCTCAGATTTTCATTTAAAACGAATCATTTGATTTGATCAGAGAACATTATTTCCCCCCAAAGAACTTTCTGAATGATCTGAAGATGTAAAAACAGGCAGTTTATAACCAAAATTGTTTTGCTGTCTTTTATATAGTGGTCACTAGATAGCTAATGTCATAAAATCCACTGCCTCAGAGGGAGATGCCTTAGTTAATTAGTTACAATCAGTACAGTGCTTAGGGATTCAATGCTCCTGCCTGTATGTTTGCCTGCTAACATAATCATAGGTTAGCATATGGTGGCTTATTTCCCATACCTGTAATGCAAAGAAACTTTCAGAATCACATAATCATAGAGGGAGACAACGAGCATCTTTCTAATCAGCCATTTTCTGTTCTCTGGACTCCTAAATAGCTCAGGTGAGCCCAATTCTCGGATTTCCTGTTCAACAAACATGAAGTTTCCCAGTCCTACTTGGACTTAGAAATAGTTAATTCACTTGCACATTTCTGATGATACTGTCTTAAGCCTTGTTTTCCAGAGCCATGGAGTTGACTCTGCACACAGGTCCATAGATATAAACCCTCCTTGTTTTCTGGGCAGCAACCGCCCCTGAGGGGTAAGGGACTGTGTTTTGGGAAGATGGCACAATGTCCAAAGGGAGGCCATTCACAAGCGATGTCCTCTGGGGCCTGGTGCTAGGTCCAGTCCTTTTCAACATCTTCCTTAATGATCTGGATTCCAGGCAGTGTACCCACAGCAAACTTGCAGACTTGTTTATAAGAAAACTGGGAGGAGTGTCTGATGTTCCAAAGGCCATGCTGCCATCCGTAGACAGGCTGGAGAGGTGGGCTGACAGGAACCTCATGTTGTTCAACAAGTGGAAGTTCAAAAAGCAAGAGCACACTGCTGGAAAGCAGCTTAGTACGAAAAGGACCTAGGGGTCCCAGTGGACACCGAGTTGAAGCTAGCAATGTGCCCTTGCTAGCTAGAGAAGGCTAATGGTATCCTGGGCAACATTAAGAAAAATATTGCCAGGGGGTGGAGGAGATGATCCTTCACAGAATCACAGAATCACCCGGATTGGAAGGGACCTCAAGGATCATGTAGTTCCAACCCCCCTGCCTAGCAGGGCCACCAAACACACACATTCAGATCAGGTTGCCCAGGACCCTGTCCAACCTGGCCTTAAACACATCCAAGGACGGGGCATCCACAACCTCCCTGGGCAGCCCGTTCCAGGGCCTAACCACTCTCCTTGTATAGAACTTCCCCCTAACATCCTTCCTCTCTTTTCAGCCCTGCAGAGTTCACACCTGGAATGTTGGGGACAGTTGTGGGCTCTCCAGTACAGAAGAGATATAAAACTTGGAGAGAGTCCCATTAAGTCCTCTCCTATAAGGAGAGGCTGAGAGAGGAGGGGTTGTTCAGGCTGGAGAAGAGAAGGTTCAGGGGGATCTCATCACTGTGTGCAAATACCTGAAGGGAGGATGCAAAGAGGACACTTTGCAGGGTTGGCAGAAGAGGCAGCGGGCACAAAGAAGCACAGGAGATCAGGAAACGCTGTGATAGTGTGATAGTGACCGAGCATGCCCAGGCCAGGGCCTGTGGGTGTCCCTACTTGAGCTGGGATTGGAACAGATGGATCCAGAGGTCCCTTTGAATGTCAGACATTCTCTGATTCTGTAACTTTTGGAACTAGGAGTCTGGCATTCTCCAAGGGCTGTAGGTGGCTGTGACCCTGGCCCCAGTGGACTGGCTCTTGTGGCAGTGCTGAGATGGGCCAGCCTGGCACTGCTGAGGGTCACTGAGCACACTGTATTCACACATCCCTTCAGGGGCTTGTCTGCAGCCCAGATATGTCACCACACAGCCCAGCCTGGTGATTAATATTGCACAGATTCTACATTTTACTGTTTAGGTTCTCCAAAATTAAATGGCCAGGGAAGACAACCTGGTGCATTCTTTGGTTCCAGAACTTGGGGGAAATATAGTAGCACAAGGAAAAGAGAGAGAGGTAAAAGCCCAGCCTTCACCCAGGTCTTGCTTTCCAGGTGACCTCGTATCCCGAGCCATGCACCACCTCCAGCCACTGAATGCCAAGCAGCACGGGAATGGCACACCAATGCACCAGAAGCAGGGATCACTCTACTGGGAGCCGGAGGCTTTGTACACCCTCTGCTACTTCATGCACTGCCCACAGATGGAGTGGGAAAACCCGAACGTGGAGCCATCAAAAGTCACGCTGCAGACTGAGAGGTAAGAGCCACCTTAGAGTATGTTTCATATCTTTGTGAAGACATTCTGCTGATAAATCAGTGTTGCTGGCTAATTGCTAATTACAGCTTGTGCATAGGAGGCTGCAGAGCAGTCTGTTTTGGCTTGGGATCACCTTTCTGAAATCCCGTTTCTCTTACTGAAGTGCTCCATGGCTGACCCAATATATATCAAAAGTGACACCCAGTGGCTACATTCAGCAAATTGGTTCCAGATGTGCACTTGGTAGAGATTTCCGTTTTCTTTCTTTGTTGCTCAGCTATTCTATGTTTTGGAAAAGAAAATGAGAACTTCTATTTCTGGCATAGCAGGTCTAGGTTTAAATGTGTCTTTCTACACATTAATAGGGTTTGACAGCTGTGATTTGGGAAGTGGAAAATGAGTAGAGTAGTGTTTAGCAAGGAGGGGTTGTTAAAGACGCAGTGCCCCAGTTGTGCGAGGTACCAGGGTAGGTTATGTACTCAGCACAAGAGGAACTTGGGGGCTGTGAGCTCCTGCCCAGCCTCTGGGGTGTGCTGCTTGGGATGTGGCTGCATCCAGCTCTGCTGCCTTCATCCACCCTTTAGTATCAACCAGGGCAGAAGAAGCGAGTTCAAGACTCAGTCCTGACTCAGAATCTTCTGTAAAGAAAGGAGATCTTGTCAAAAATGCAGCAGCCTCTCTAGTAACAAGAGCCAAGCTCTGCCTCCACTTGTGGTCTGAGGTATGTTTTGCTATTTCACTTCCCTGAACCAGGGGTTGCCGCTGAGGAGATGAGAGGAATGACCAGTGCTTGAAAAGAGATGCATATACATGTTTAAGATGGTGTATCATGATGGTGCAAATGCCAGCTGAACTCCACATTCATGTCCTGCTGTATCATGCTGTATGTGTGAGCCAGACTGATACACACATGCACTGACATTTGCATGTATGGGGCTTGTTACTGTTTTAGTATGAAGTTTGCATCTCAAAAGCAGTGTTTGAGAATGTCATTATATAGGTAAACTTAAGTGGCATATAATATGATATTTTCATTGAATTATTTTTCAATTGACTCGTAGAAAATCAGAAAAGACGAAACTCTAGCATTAGTGATTCTACTGGGAACTTTGCCATTTTTCTTTGGGTGGCATTTTGTTTTTTTCCAAGTTTGGGTCACTCAGTTAGCATGGTCTTTGGTTTTTGCTCTATTGATTCCCATGTGTGAAAGAAACAGAATGGCAAGTTAAAAGAACCTGGAATTTTAATATCTTTCTAAATCAGTTTTATTTTGTGAATTGTTAGCCAACCTGGCTCTTGCAGAAGGCCTACCTCATGAGCAAGAGTTCTCGTGGTTGGTACTGTGCTAAAAGCGGTGACTGAAATTAGAAGATATTCTCACCTGATCTGTAGTCACCATCTGTGGGAGTTAATGCCCTTGGGACCAGTGGAACTATAAAGGTTAGTAACAATGAGGCTCTGGGTTTGTAAAATTTCTAAAGACTTTCCTGTGGAAGGTGAGAGGGGCAGGAATATTTGTAGAATCTCATTTAGCGTTTGCTTTAATAGGTTTTCCTTTTCCTGAGGTAGTCTTAATATATCTTCTCTTTGTTAGAGCAATTGAAGTGCTGATTATATAAAGCCAGATGCAATTTTTCTTCTTTGCTATATTACGAGTATTCAGTTTGGCAAAATGTCTTCCTTTGGAAGACCGGTTTAACAACTGTGGTGTGTGGTTAGGGCCAAAGTAAGTACTCAGTGTTATTGCCAAGAGTTTGTGGTCAATTTTGGAAGGAGCAGATAGATACTCCTTCTATTGCCTAATCAAACATGCGTTTGTACTTTGCTGGAAAACACAAGTGGAAGTGATGCAGGGGTAAGCACGTGCCCAGATATTTCCACTGCATGTGCTGTGTAGCATGCCTCACCAGCACCAGCTGGATGGAAGTATCTTGGGCTGCCCAGCAAGTAATCCAGTTCAGCTGATTTCTATTTAGTGCTCTGAGAAGCCTCCCTTCATATTTCCAGTCAAAGACTTATCAGTGCTGTTCTTTATATGCAGGCATGCTTTATGGTCTGTGACTTATTTCTGGTGTTTTCAGTTTTCGTGGTGGGTTTTTATGCATTATGAGGAAGTGGGTTTGTTAAACATGACACTTTTATATGCAGAATATTTGCAGGCTTGATGCCTTATCTCTGTTCCTTATTCCCTCTCTTTTCCTCCGGCTGTGACAATGACTTTTATGTTGGAAGAAACACAGAGAGAAGGAAGGAGATCCAGGCAATTTCCCCCTTCCCTGGCCTCTCTGGGTCCCGGCTGGTGCAGAGAAGCCAGAAAATGAGTGGATCTGGCCACAAACAGTATTTTCTTGGAACAAGGGTTGTACTTGGCTCATTTGAAGACAACCTGGCTACTATTTTGGCCCTCTTTCCTGATCATGCATGCCCAGGATAGGGAGCAGGTTATGAGATGTGGCCAGAGAACTCCCCAAGTTCTCACAGGGCTCAATGGCCCAATGTTAGCTTCTCCTCCTTCTCAACCATCTCTATTCCACTCGGGCTTGGGCTCTCAACCGCAGTTGAATTGGGTTGAGTTACAAAACCGCAAAGGCTCTGCTTGTTCTTCTGCAGCAGCTGGGTGTGGAAGGGAAGCTGGAGCCTAATCCCTGCAACCAGTATAGTTGCAGTCCTGCCTGGGTTAGCACTTCCTAGCATAAAAAGCAACACCTCCTGTGAAGTCTCATGGGATGCATAAAATTGGATGTTTACCTTTGAATAAATCCAACACTTTGCTTCTAGGGAGTATTTTCTAGGGAGTGTTTCTCTGTGTTCTTCACGGGGGTAAAGAAATAAGAATGCAGTCTATTTATAATAGCGGTTGTCTTCACATAAAATGAAAGGGAAAAAATATTATGCAATAATGAGGCTGGGAGAGTAGGAAAGTGGCGAGGATTTCTCAGAAATTCTGGAAAATACTCCCTTCTTCTCAAGCTCCAGCAAACCCAACCTCCACATTCATACGCTTCTTTCAATCTGATCAGATTTGAATAAACCCTGTGCCTTTTGGCTGTGTTGTTGGCACTACCACAAGCCAGTCCTGCTGGGATAGATTATTTCATGGCCCTGGGTACCATGTAGATGGCTATTTTGGCAGGTGTGAAAGTGCAGGAGGGGATTTGGATCTGTTTGTGAGGCCACTGTTCCTGACAGCCAGGATGCAATGGAGACGTTTGTCTTGTGCCAGATGTTGTCTGTGAAACCATCATTCCTCTGGTGCCCTCACGTGCGGGTGGCTGCAGATTATTTAGGTTTGTTCATTCTTCTGCTTTCCTGGGAATTGAAAAAGGAAGAATTTGTCAATTAGACAACTGTTGCCAAGATTTCTTTCTAGCTTGCTGCTTCTAGTTTAATAAAAGGATCTGTCCTGTGGTTGTGTTTTGCTTCTAGGCTTCCAAAATTATTGCAAGTAATTTCTTAAGCACCGGAAAGCACAGAATCTGTAGCTGCAGATTTGTTTGATGCTTTTTCTTAAGTGGTTCCTTACCCACTTTTACCCACAGCTGTATTGACAAAGTCCTCATGACTTCCTAACTCTCCATGTTCCCCATTAACAACTCATTGAGAAGCAGTGGCTCAGCACTCAGCCTGTCCAGGGCCACCCATTAATTCTGCTCACAAGGCAGCAAAGCACCTTCCCCAGCAAGTCCTCAGTTCCTTCAGCACTTGGTACGGCTGTGTGCATAAAATAGCCGTAAAACCATTTCACTAAGAATGTGCCAGGTAGATGTGGCCCTGCTTTAAGTCATTCTGTGGTGCAGACTCCAGCAAAGGACAGCAGAAAGCAGAGCGACCCCTCAGAGTGCTGCTGAGAGTGGAGAAAGCACAAGCATTGCACCTCTGGAAGAAATTAGAATGGGGAAGTCCTGCTATGAAGCTGGTTTATCCTGCAGCGTGTTTGCAGAAGACATTACACGTATGGTGTGCTACTATGGCATAATCTTGTATTAAACCCATGGTAAAACCATGGCCTCGCTGAACTCAGGAGTTATCACCATTGCTTATTTCTCTGGGAGCCACTGAGAGGGAATCTCAAATTCATCCTCACTCATCCTCTGCATTCGCATCCTAAGTATCAAACTTCCCACTTGTTAAAAATTGCTTTAGAATTGGTATTGGCAGCTGCCTGCACACTGGGTTGCACACGGCACACGAAGCAGCACAGACAGCATTTGTAGCTCTGCTGTCAGGCACCATATCCTTGCAGTGCTGGGGCTGTATTCTAACCCTAATTTATCAAGCGAGGCTTAAGCTGTCCGTGTGATCTCTATAGGGTTTGTTAAATAGAGAAAACTGTGTGCAGCGTTGGGAGGAACGTAGCACCAGGGCTGCTCTGCGCCGCGTTCCCGACAGCGCTCCTGCGGCTGGCTGCTTTCCAGGGATTTCTGTCGCAGCCAGGCGTGTCACATTTGATGTCGGAACAGCCTGGGAAACATCTCCCTGCTGTCGCTGCCGGACAAGTCATCGCTCTGACTTGATTGTGTTTCAGGTCTTGCCCAGAACTGCTTTCATGCAGGAGAGGCAACAGGGACTGCGTGCCTAACCCCTGGCTGTGAGCTGAAGGCCCGTGACTTGCAGATCTCTGGTGCAGACCCGAGCATTGCAGGCTAGGTGCATAGAGCGTATGGGTGAACGGTCTCTCTGCTTAGGCAGATCCTTCAGCCTGATTAAAATGTAGAACTGCCTTTGTTAGAGTCTTGGGCCATGCTTAGCAAGGTTTCTGGAGTCACAGAGGGGTTGAGCAGCCGGCTCCCGGTGCAGTACCTCTGGAGTGCAGTGGGAAGCGTTGGCTCTCAAGGAAGACAAGGAGTTTGTGGTTTAAATATAAAATGCACCCATTCAAAATGTCTGCTAAGGACTGGAGAAAGTGCACTTTCCTGGTCTCCAGTAGTGCTAACGATGGGCTAGCATTATACATATGGTTTTATTGTGTTTTCTAAAAGAAGATTGTAAGAGTCAAGAATGCTTTGCAATCTGCATATTGGGATTTTCTTTCAACAACACCCATGAAAATATAAACACAGAAGACAACCAAATGAAATGATCTTTGCATCATTTTAAATTTGCTGACTCATATCTGCAAGCAGAAACATCTCTCCACCTTTGTCTGAATCCACCTGTGCTTTTCTTGTAAAGGTACGGCCTTCCCTTCTCTGCTGGAGGGCAAGTTGTATGAGGAGCAGCTGAGGGCCCCGGGTTTGCTCAGCACAGAGCAGAGGAGCTGAGGGGAGGCCTGATGGCGGCTGCAGCTCCTCACAGGGAGCGGAGGGCAGCGCTGAGCTCTGCTCTGTGTGACAGCGACAGGGCCGAGGGAACGGCATGGAGCTGTCAGGGGAGGGCAGCTGGGGGTTAGGGACAGGGTCTGCAGCAGACAGTGATCACGGCCCCAAGCTACTGGAGTTCAAGGTGCATGGGGACACAGCTGTCAGATGGATAATCTGATTTCTGGGTGGTGCTTTGTGGAGCCAGGGGTTGGGCTCTGTGATCCTTGTGGTCTCTTCTAACTCGGGAATGTTCTGTGACTGTTGTCAGAAATACTGCTCACTCTCACTTGTTGCTTTTAAAATTGTAAATGCAATGGCCTGTATTTTAAGGTAAAGCAAGGTCAGGTCTGTACAGCTGTGCCCACTTTCTATCTACTGAAACTGAGAGGGGGACAGCAAGAAACATCTGAGATCCAGTTAGGACAGTTATGCCTGCAGATGTTTGCAAGGCAGACGAGCTCATGAGTCCTGAACTGTCCCAAAATAGCTGTGAGAGAAGTGTAGGGTGTGGGGCTGCAGCAGGGAAGTAGGGAATGCCAGCGAGGTCAGGGTTTGGCCTTTACCGCTGTAGCTGAGTATGTGCTGTCACCTCCCCAGTGTATCCCATGAACCTCAAATAGGTGTGGAAGAGGAAGGAGGCCTGAGATGCTGCTCCTGTAGGAATAGGTGTCTTAATGTGGTGAGAACAGCCCTGATAATTCTCTTCAGTTTAAGCAGGAGTGCAGTGAGGGCATGCTTGAGGATGATCTGGTTGTCCCCTTGCCAAGGGCTGGGGACAGTGCCGAGAAGGGTCTGGCCACTTGGGAGCTCTTCATCCTCCTCCCCCTGCAGCTCTTCTGCATGGCACCAGGGCTGCCTCAGCACAGAGACCTCTCTTTGCATCCCCATCTGGGACGGTACTTCCTTTAGTTCAGGAAAATGTCAAAGCTTGTGCCAAAATCCATTCATTTTCGGAATATGACTTAAGATCATGTTTAGCTTCCCAGCAGTGCATGGAAGTTGCCTGGTGTGTGCCCTTACTGCTAAGCACAGGTGCAGAGGGGCTGAAGGGGGAGGTCAGTGACTTTTCTGCTTCTCTGCTCTGGATCTCCTAGTTGCTGCCTGCCTTTGTACGGCAGAGATAAATCAGCTGTGAGTGCTATAATGATGTGATGCATTCACTTGATCTGTTTTTGCAGAGTGTCATTTGGAAAGTGATACATATCTTGCTGATGTCATGCTATAGTGTGGATTGCCGCCTTCCTATAACTTTGTAATCCTCTTTCTCCTTTGGCACACAAATAGCATTCAAAAAAACCCAACCAACTTCACATGATGCATGGACTCCTGAAGGGTATTTTTAACCTATTGCTCTCAACCATATTTGGTTCTCCTCTCAAAACACAAATTCCTTGACATGCTCAGATAGGCAGTGGCGGGGCTTTCTGCCCTGGAAAAAAGAATGTAATGTATTCTGATTGAATCCCACATCCTCCCATGCAGAGTAAAACTGGTCTTTTGAGAAAATCCTGCAGCTTCCCTATAACACTGCTTCTTTTCCCTTTCAGGATTTATTGCACCAAATAAATTCATTTCTATTTCTCTGCTGAAGCTTGCAAGATCAGGAGAGAAAACATGACATCTTGCAGCAGAGTTGATTCAGTTCCTGTAAATAATTTTATTTGCCCTGCTCAGTACTGCAGTGGGGCAAATCTGCTGGGTGAGATTCTGCCCTGCACAAGAGGGGAGAATAAATGAGCCCCCGAGTTGCTTGTTTTGTAGGAGAGTGAACTATGGCCTAGAATTTAGCTTCCTGTTAACTGTTTCCAGTGCAACAAGGTCTGTGTGTAATTATATACATTTTTACACTTCCATGATGATTTGCACTGCTTCCCTGTTTGCTCGGTGAGTGATGAAAGCAACTCCCACCGATCAGTTGTTCCCAGCAGTCCTGGCTGCAGGGAGCTGCCTTGCCAAGCCCTTTGCCACCAGCCTTCTGGAGCAGCATGCAGCAGAATTCCCTGTTCTTTTGTCCCCTGTTCCCCTTAGAGTGAAATAGTGCACCCTCTCCATCCTCCAACCACTGCCATCACTGTGATCCTGCTAGGCTCTGGAAATCTGATCACAGTGGTTGTGGGAGTTTGTTCTCTTTTTATCATTCTCTTTCCATGGCAGTGGCAGGTCTGGAGAAAGGGAAAGCTGGGAAACAAATGCAGCCTGGTCTCAAGGTGATGGAAATGCAATGGAATGGAATAGTAATGGAAGTGTCAAGTCAGCAAAAGTTGTCATATTTCAGAAGGAGGTTATTCGTTTACGTACCCGTGCGAATTGGGAACCTGGTGTCCTAGGGAAAGTCAGTGGCCTTAGGGCTTCTGCGTCCTTCAGCACTTTTGAAATATCTCATCCCTCCTTAAGGATATTAATATCAGAGCTCTGTAAAGTTGGTTCTTAAAAAGAAAGAAATAAATGGCATAAAAAGCTATAAATAGGAAAAAGATACTCCAGAATCAACATTTGATTAAATCATTTTTCTCAGGGTAGATTATTTTTGGTTAAAGTTAGGTATTTAAAGTGCAAAGTTTTTGCCTACAGGGTACCTAATCCAGTCTTTTTTTTTTCCTCTCTGTTGGAAGGGACTACGGAAAGCAAGACAAGTCAGGCAAAGCAATATGAGATAAAAAGGAGCAGGAGAAGGGAAGGAAGCACAAGTAGGGGATGATGCTACTAACAAAATGAGATACTGAGTTAATAAACATAGAATGTATGGCTAAGAAGGAGAAAGGGAGCCGTTAAGGAAAGAAAAAATGATTGCCTTTTTTCCAGGGCAAAGATGATGATAAAAGGTATAGGGTTCAGGAGGAGAAGGTAGAAGCATGTTAATAGCAGATGTTCCTTTAGCAGTCATTTACAAGCTTCATCTCTCTTTCTCTTTCTTCCTTTCTTTTTTTTTTTTTTTTGTTTATATTATAATATTAAAACAATCTTGTTAGCATCCCTTAGCCATGGTATTTTCTTTGCAGTTTGGACAGAATGGTCTTGCTACGTCTACGTAGTTTTCAGCAGTCCTATCTACGTACAGAACTTTCAGCATAGTTTACTTGTAGCTTTTGGGCAGATTTTTTTGTTTTTTTAATTATTATTTCATGATTTTAGAATTTTATACTAATCTTCTACCCTACCTCAGCCCTTCTCCACTCAGACTTTGCTTTCTTATGCACCATGGAGGATGCCATCAGAGCTGGGATGTCCACAAAAACCATTTGGGGATTGGAAGGCTAATGCTGTTACTTGCATTGCTCTCTAGGTTTTGTTCACTGTGATCTCCTAGGCAGTTACATTCCAAGATGTTCAGCTGCAGATCTTCTTTAGTTTTTTTAAACCCTAAACTTGGACTTGGAGTTACGGTTCTTGAGTTTACATGTGGTCAAGCAGTGTACTGTGTGCTTCTTGTAAGGCATGTGCTGCTCCTGCCAGAACATGGGGCTGCCCAGGTGCTGTGGAGCGAAGGGCTGTGTCTCTGGCAGTGGCCACATGCTGGCAGTGACAGAGTGGGGCTGTGACCAAGTCCCACTGTGCCCTCTGGGGACAGTAGTTTTGCTCACGTGGCAGAACAGCCACTACCCAAAGGCAGAGCAACTTGATACAGACTGCAGTAGGTATAAAAGTGAGATGATCCAGTCTGATTGCTGATGCTGCTCAACAATGCAGTGGGAGCAGCTGTTGAGGTCCCGCTTTGCAGCAAGGTGCACATTGCATCAGTGGAGATGCTGGAGATGTCCTTGCACGTTGCCTCCGCGTGCCGAGCACTTAGGGTCAGGATCCCCTCTCTCCACCCTCGTGGAGCAACAAGGAGTGTGCCAGTCCCAGTGCATCATCCAGAGCAGGATGCCATCCTGTGCTGTCTCCTGCCCTCTTTTGGGACGCATGGTGCAGAGGTGGGGGAGGACTTTGGGTGCAGGTGCACTGATCTCACAGGGGCCCCATAAATGAGCATGGCTTATAAAGCTGACATTTTGACTAATCCTGCTCCAGAGACAGGGCTCTTGATTTAGACCTGCATGAAATTGCTGAGCTAGTTTGCTCTTCTACAGTTTCATTTTGTGTCTTTCCTTCTCCCTCCCTGTATTCTACATCCTTTCTGTACATTGCTAACACATCCATGCACTCACCCCCACAAGCTATCACCCTACAGCCGTTGTTTTGCTGTCTGTACCATGGCACTGATGTCTGTGTGCTTCCCCAGGCCGTTCATCGTGCTGCCGCCCCTGATGGAGTGGATTCGGGTTGCCGTCGCTCACGCGGGGCACCGTCGCAGCTTCTCGGTGGACAGTGATGACGTACGGCAGGCAGCCAGGCTTCTGCTGCCCGGAGTTGACTGTGAACCTCGACAGCTCAAGTAAGTCCACAGAAAGATGGGATGCTTTGTGCAAAACGTGTCTCTCTCTCTCTCAGTGACGGTGAATTAGCAGGCAGGCAGAGGGCTCTCTCATTTCCCCGAGAGGTGCACGGATGCTCGGGCTCGTCGCTGCGTGCGCTGCGAAATCGGCTCTGGGATTTGCTCACATCCGTGGATAAGCCGGTTGCACGGTAATGGGTGCCTGAATATCTCACAGCTGGACCGAGCCCGTAATCTGCTCGCCTGGCTTTTTTCCCTTACTGTTAGGTTCTGCTTGGTAATGAGAGGCTGAAATTTTCTGCTAATTGTCTGCTTTGCATTGCTTCGCCCTAGAATACTGAGATACAACTGGCGAGGCTGCAGATATTTTCAGTGCTTTGTTTTCAGCATTAATGGTTAAAGGGCAGATTTAAACTTATAGGTAAGACTACTTCTCATGGTAAAATTGTATTTTCCATGCTAATGTCAGTTCAAATTAGTTGTAAATGTCAGCCTGGATAATTTGACTTTTTCATGTATCAGATGCGACCTTTTGGTTTTCTAATGAAGTCCTAAAGTATTTATTGCCAGAATGTTTTTAGTGTCTGTTTTGCTTCATTGTTATGTACATGTATAAAAGCATGATGTAGGGCTGTGCTGTAGTCGAGAACATAGTTGGTTTTGATTTTTGTATGAAAAGGCATTATGAATCTGCCAAAGGAGAAATTACTCACTGATAACTACTTTATGAATTTGTATGTTAAAAAACCCACATTTTTCAGCAGTCTGCCTCTCCTACAGCACTAGGTGCATTCCTCCCTGCAACGCAGAAAGCAGAGCAACGAGCTACATGATCAGCTGTGACAACCTGCATCAGAGCAGCTGGGCTATGTTGACCCTTGCCTTGACATGCTCTTTCACCAGAGACCATAATACTTTACTTTGTGATCTGCACAAGATTTTTATAGTTGAAGCCATTGAATATTTAATTGAAGAAATATGTTGAATTTCGAAAGCTAGATCTGGAGCGTTGCATATTTCAGATACTGACTGTAATTGCTTCCCTTCAGTGTGAACATCTTGACCCTCATTTCCAGAAGTGCAGCATTCTGCATCCCTACTGAAGTGTCAAGGCTTACAGGCACAGTGCACTTTCTGAGGACCTTGTGCTTGGTTTCTAAAAGGCACCATAAATTCAATTCCTGTTTTGATTTTTAGGTAGGATTGCAAATAAGGCAGTAATGTTTGCTCCGTAAATATTCTGTCTTAAAAAGGGAGGTAGACATAGTTAAGTATTTGTGCACTTAAAAAAACGCTGTGTACTGTCCTTCAAATGTGTGTGTATGTGTATTTTTGTGTATATATATATAGAGGATGGATTGGATGGAGCCATGGGCAGCTGATCTGGTGGGTGGTAGCCCTGCCTACAGCAAGGGGTTGAAACTCGATAGGCTTTAAGGTCCCTTCCAACCCAACCTTTCTGTGATTCTCTGAATAACTTGTTAGATGATTTTCCAGAAGTTTCAAAATCACTTGAAGTTGAGGAGAGTTGCATTGTGCCCAAGGAAAACGTATTGGTGATGAGGAACAAATCAGCATTTAGTTTAAAGTTGCCATCCAGAATTCATTTCCTAATGAATGGAAGCAGTAGCTGTTGTCCTGCCTGTGAGACAGGAATGAGCCTGAAGAGAGCAGCCCAGAATTAATCAGGTGGGAATGAAAAATTAAATCATTCTGGGGACAAGCTCTGGAGTTCACAGAGACCAGACAGTGTGCCCTTGTTTGACTCTAGGGGCCCGATTCAACCGCTGATGTCTCAAAGTGAGAATCTCTCCCCACTGCACAGGCAGAGGTCTACGGATGAGTTTTGGGGTGCTCATGTTTGTGTCAAGGTCCATCCGTGGTGGAGGTTGGTTGTGCAGTGGGGGCTTAGGCCCTGCGTGCTTGTAATCGTGAGATGCAGAGGAGGCCTCTGCTATTCTGAACAATAATGTCAAGCATCGGGATATTGATCAGAAAACTTGCACTTGCTGGTTTTTATTTGTATTTGGTACAGATCCTCTCTGCTTCTTATTGCCATCAAGCCAAGTGTCAGCCTTCCGTGCCTCCCTGTGAGGGAGGGAGTGTTCCCAAATGTCCTTTCCTCAGCAAGCACTGATGCCATAAATGTAACACTGGGAGAGGACACAGCAGCTTTGCAGGGGATTGCTTTATAAATAAGCTGTGTGACGGATGGCAGCTGAAGGATTTTAAATGCAGTGAGCTTGATATATTTTTGTGACTTTTATGAAGATGTCTTAATAAGTAGAACCTTGAGACCCGTTCAAATTCTAGACTTTTCTTAGCATTCTTCTTTCATCCCTTAAATACAGAAAGTCACCGTGTGTTACATCCCATGGCCCATGTCCTGTGCTGTGTGCAGCTGCGTCATTCCATCGTGTTGATTCACAACCTGTCATTGCTAACACATAAAGCAAAATCAACTTCCACACTGGAAAAATGCACTTGCACAGAGAGGGAGAGCTCTGGCAGAATCTCAAAGGCTATGAAGTTCAGATAAAAAACAAATGTTCAGTGTCTTATCTGGACTACAGCATGGTCTCCCAGAGGAGCCGTGTGACACCTCCCGGCACAATCACATACTCCAACAGTGAGGTTCCTGATATGTGTTTGTAAATCATCTCTGCTCTCTTCCTGCCTTTCACTCCAGTACTGCCTCTCTTTCTTCCCTCTTTTGATCTTTAAAAATCCATCCCCTTAATTTCTTTCCCTTAATCTCCTGAAAGAGGAGCTGCTTTTGCTGTGTGCATAGGACTGAGGGAGGTCGGAATCAGGCAGAAGCTGTCTGTCTCCTTCCCAGTCTCTTTTGATTTTACAGCACCAGACATGCCAGAAAGTTTCTACCCTTTCCCAGCTTTAGGAGATGAACAAGGATATAAATGTTCAACCTTCTCCCAGGAGTGGGAGCTTTAAATAGAGTTGTCTCCACCGCTTGCACGGAGGTAGGTTTCACCTACCTACCAGATGGGTTGACTGCTGGATGTACAACAGCTAGCTGAGACTGAAGCACATAAGTTGTGCCAAAGACATTCTTTGTCATAGTGGGAGACCAGACCTAAATAACATCCTACCTGGTCCCAAGCCATGTTGTGCCATCCAAAGCAGCTGGATGTAGCCAGTAGAGAGTCACATGCCAAGCAGCTCTCTGCTGGCATAAATCTGGTGAAGGTGGGTGCTCTGCCCCCAGCACTAGGCTTTTGGTTAGTGAAGGCATCAGGAGTGAAGGAAATTTGCTGTCAAAAGAGTGTGGTGGTATCATTTGTGTTGGACTTGTTCCTATGCTGCAAGTTGTTCTCAAACTTCTCTAGGTCTGTCTGGTTGTGAACAGATGCCTGCCTTTGGCTGCTCCTCTTCATTCCATCAGCAAAGCGTGGCTTCCCCTTGCTCAACCTGAATACAAGGAGCTCTAAACACATCTCTTTCCTTCCTCCACTCTGTAGGACAGTTATTAAAAAAAAAAAGACAAAAAACCCAATGTGTTGGATGTGATGGGGAGAATTCCTAATGGATGACTGCATACGGGGTCTGAAGGCTGAAGGCAGGGAAACAGCGAAGGAGGAACATCCAGTATTGTTCAGCACAAAGGCTGCCGTCTCTTTTATCAGTAGTTTTATTTCTGCTCGCAATATATTATGGCAGTCCTGCAGGACGCAAAGATGCTGGAACAAATTGACCGGAGAGAGGTGGCAGTGTCATGCAAGAGACTGTTACACAGCCAGTCTTGCATATGACTGAATTGCTCTATTTTCTGGACAGTCAGAAGTTAAAAGAAAGCTATGGGGTGCAAGTGCATATGAGGGTGTGTATGTTCATTCTGATGTCCAGAAGCAATAAGAATTCAATTCTTTGCCAGGCTAGGCATTTCTCTGTGGCTGCAGCAGTATCTAGAAGGCCTGTCACATTTGTCAGTGCCCTGTCCCCTTGCCCAGGTCACTGGAAGGCTGCAACACTATAAGCTGGCCTCTAGGAGAGAAGCAGAGTTCAGTATCTTTGGTGAATGGTTTCTACCTGTCCCTAGATGAAAAGGCTCCTGTCTTGAACACTAGAGAAGCAACATTTTCTGCAACATTTATGACTGTCTAGCACAGGTCACAGCTGCTTCAGCGGAGGTATGTCTTGGCAAGAGGATCACAGGAAGGTTCTTTAAGCAGATCTGAACTCCATTTGGATGATTTTAACCAACCAAGCAATACTCTCCTGGTGGCAAATGATAGAACCAGAGGGAATGGCGTGGAGCTGCATCAGAGGAGGGTCAGTTTGAGTGTTAGGAAAAAGTTATTCATTAGAGGGTGGTGGGCTTGGTACAGCCATCTCAGGGCATGACCCCAGGCTACCATTGTTCATGAGGCATCTGGATAACGCTCTCAGACGTATGGTCTGATTTTTTGGTAGTGCTGTGTGGAGCCAGGGGTTGGATCTCTTCCAATTCAGGATATTCTGTGATTCTCTGATTCAAATGACAAAGGTGGGCAGTGGCATTTTTGCCATCATGGGTGAGTTCCAAAAGAGTTTCTTAATGCCCTATCTTCTCTTGATGTGCAGAGCACGGAGCTCCCCATATGTGTAGTCAAATGTCATTGGAGGTGAGAACATCACTGCTGCTAGTCTCAATGCTGTTCTCTCAGGTTGCTGGGCTTGCTTCCAGTGATGGCAGTAAATACTCCTTTCTGCTCTGGCTGGCTGAGAATCTGGGTCCTATCTCTGCTCCTGACCATGGACATATGCATTTTTCTCCTCTTTTCCTGCAGCGCAGAGAGGAAACTGGTATGTTTATGTCCCAGCCTTGAGAAGGCACCTGGGAAAGGTGTGCAGCAGGGCTAACAGATGCCATCACCAAAGACTCAGTACTTTGTTTTCAGGAAGAAAATCCTGATGGGGAAAGAAAACTAAATAATAACAACAAGGTAATGAAAATGGAAAAACAGCCATCAAAAAGGGAGTGAACTAGGCAGCTTAATGCA